CTCGGTGAACATCTATAGCGGATTGGGCAGACGTGGGTTGCCCCGCAGACGTAGGAGAAGCGCTCCGAACTGCGTAACAAATCTCTGTGTACTTGATTTAATTACTGCTTTTATTTTCTGTTATTCACTATCACTAAATAACAAAAATTAATCGGTCAAAATTTAATATAAATATAAAAATCAAGTAGAAGTTTCAGGTTCGGTTAGTTTAAGGTTCACGACATTATTTCAATTGGTATCAGAGCCTAGAGGCTTAAGTTACTAGTCTTTCGATCTGGCTATTACGTGTTCCTTATTTTTAAGTGTTCAGCGGTTTTCAATTCTGTTCTTCCTATTATTACTTTGTTCAATCTCACTTGTTGCTAAGTGTTTCAGAATGGAAAGATTCAGGCCACTTCCCCAGCTTACAGGTGACAACTACGCATATTGGAAGGCTCGAACAAGAACTCACCTTAAAGCTCAAGGAGATCAGGTTTGGCGGGCGGTACTGACCGGTTGGACACCACCTACAAAACCTTGAGAAAATGACGGTATTGATTGTGCAAAAACTGCGTGGGAAATACTCGAAACCACCTATGAAGGTACAAGTTCAGTTAAACAGTCAAAGCTTCAGCTGGTAAAAACTGAATTTGAGGGACTTCGTATGAACGAGGACGAAGATATTGCGAGTTTTCACGAACGCATTCAAGAGTTAGTTAATCAAGCAACAATTCTTGGAAAACATTTCTCCCAACAAAAACTTGTCAAAAAAATCCTAAGATCTTTACCTTTGAGATTCAGGATGAAGGTAACCGCTATTCAAGAACTTGATGGCTGGGAGAACAAATCAGTGGCTCAACTAATGGGCAATCTTCGAACCTACGAAATGGAAATTCTTACTGACCACACCAAAAAGAAAAAGACAGTTGCGTTTGTCGCTGAAGAACAGGATGATACCGCTAACCCAGACGAATCAGGTGATGATCCAGTTGAGTTTTTGACTGAACAGTTTTCTAATTTTTTGAAACAGGTATCTCAGAAGAATTCACAAAACAAAAAATTTCAAAAAGGAGCAAGCTCAAACATGTCGAAAACTTGTACAAAAACTGGCATGTCAAACTCAAAAACTGCTGCCCCACGTCCAGCCCGCTCCAAGGAAAAATCAAACAACAAAGGAATAAAATGTTACGAGTGTGAGGGCTTTGGTCATGTTCAAGCTGAATGTCCAACTTATCTTAGGCGAAAGAAGTCCATGACAGCCACAACTTGGAGTGATGACGAACCTGAATCAGAAGCTGCTCACTCTGACGCAGAAGAAATGTTCGCTAATTTTGTAGCTTTTACTGCTAGAGGTGAGACATGTTCAGAACCTGGAGATGCATCTGACACGGAGGGTGGCGAGTACAACTCGGCAGAAGACCTTGAAATACCAGATTTATCTTACGAAGTAGAGTTTAACAAGTTGTATCTCAAGTGGGAAGCATTACTTAAAGCAAATCGTGTAGTGTCTAGTGAAGTTAGAGTATTGTAAAATGCTGTAAACGTGTTCAAAGGTCAAGTAGCAGATAGGGACGCATTAATTAAAGAATACACTGACCGAGAAGAGAAACTGAAACAGGAAGTCAAGGAACTGAAGCTGGAACTGAGTACTTACAAAAAGAAAATTCAAATGATGGATACCACTTCAACTCTTGATGAAATTCTTGGTTCTGGGCGGCAATCCTGTGCAAGGTTTGGTATTGGCTTTACTGGAGGAACCAACAAAGACAAAACTACTTTTGTCAAGACATATGATCCACGTCCAGAAGATACTCCTGAGTCAAGCACAACTAAACAATATCGTGAATCAGCGCCTGCCATTGGCTCAGCAAGGCAAACACGAGGTACAGTACGTAACAAGTTTAACTGTAAGGTATATAATCCAGTGTGTTATTATTGCAGGTTACGAGGACACATCAGACCTGAGCGTTATTACTTCTACAAAGAACAAAGGGTCGAAAAACATAGCAATAAGTACATTACTCCGTTTATCAAACAAGTATGGGTAAAGAAATCCGACTATATCAGTCTTGTATCCTTTCACTCTAAAAATGCAGGTAGGGATGAAAAATGGTACTTCGACAGCGGTTGCTCACGTCACATGACCGGAAACGCAACATTTCTAAGTGACATAAACACAAGCAACGGTGAAGTAACCTTTGGTGATGGAGTCAAATGACAAGTAACCGGAGTAGGTACTCTAAATGTTGCAGGTCTACTCAAGTTAAAAAAGGTGCTACTGGTAAACGGACTCCATGCCAACCTCATAAGCATTAGCCAACTTTGCGACCAAAACTGGAATGTTAGCTTCACCAAAGACAACTGCAGCGTTATGGATAATGAAAAGCAATGTGTTATGGAAGGTAAGCGATCAAGAGACAGCTGCTATATTCGAACACATGATATCCTATGTTGCAGGTCTAGCATAAATGAGTCTGAGTTGTGGCATAAAAAATTAGGGCGTCAGCAATCTAGCTAATTAAATTTCTTTTTGCCCGTGTTAATAAAATTTCAGGTACACTAATTCACAAATAAGTATTACTTAGTGTTACTAATATTTTTTTCTCGTGTGCAGATTAAGTCTTAAGGCTAAGCAGTCATAAAAGCTATTTTGAATTCACGTTTTAAAAGCCAAGTGTTCAGGTTTTATTTGTTTCTTATCTATCCACATTCTCTTTATCTTGAATTCCCTAAAAATGATGTTTGTTTTGATATTATTGTGTGTATATCTTTTTGAACATGAATTATCCTTTCTAATTTATATATATACGTGTATCTCTGGATTCATTAAATCATCAGGTACTTTTAATCTTTCAGGTTCTTTCTCTTTACTTGTTCGTTTTTTTAAGTGTTCGTTTAATTTGCTTGGGTTATTCTTTATGTTTTGTTATTGGCTGTTTCTGTGTGTTCACTAAATGTCCTATCTACATTGTGTTGGCTGCTTTTGATATGATAATTCTTTGATTGTGCCTTTTTGTTGGTGTTTCCTGTGTTAAAATATGTTTGCTTGAATGATAAATTTGGTACAATTTGATTAATGTGTTTATTTTTCTGTGTTATTTATTTTGTCCGGTCATGACCGTGTGTGTTTTTTGGTTGTGTGTTTTTCATGCTATTTGTTGTGTTTCTGTGCCTGAATCATCTTCCTGTCTTGTTTGACTCAAATTGAAAATTTCTTGAATTTTTGTGCTTCTTTGTTATTTGCTAAGTCGTTTTCAAGATTGCATGTACCTTGTTCTGTGTTTCTCTTTTCTATTTTCACTTGTGCAGGTTCATGTGGCAAAAGATTTCGTAAAAAGCAACAAGGAATTATTATGGAGCTGTTCTCTCTATTTTTTTTCGTCAAGCAAAAGCTATCTGGTATTAGTTATTGGATTCTCTTTATATGGTTTCTCTTATTGGCTTTAATGGATATTATTGCATATCGGATTATCTTTGTGGTTGAAAATTTTCGGATTATTAGATTATCCAGGTTACCATATTATTTGGGTTATCATATCTTCTGGGTTATCATGTTATTCAGACTCTCGTGTTGTTGGTTGTGTGATAGCTTTTTATAAAGAATATCTGAATGGTTTGTCTACTATAGCGAACATGGAATGAATATGACAACACTACCCTCTTGGTGTATGACAATTAATATTGATCAATATGGATGAATGTTGGATAAGTCTCTTGCTATTTTACGGGAAAGAGGGTCGGGCACCCTGTCAACTCACTAGTCAATTCACTGATTTGATGTTCACCGATCCTTTTTGTCACTTATTTGGCAAAAAAGGGGGAGTAATAGAAAGGAGGAGTTTTTGAAGAAAGGGGGAGTTTTATTTGACTGACTATTTTGAAATATGAAATTAGGGAAGATACAAGAAAGGGGGAGTAGTAGGAAAGCATGATGACTGCGACATATGGTATTTTTTTGAGTATGGCTTGTCTACTACTCTATTATGCTACATTTTTTTTGTAATCTCTGACTTATATATCTCTTCAGTTTATGGCCATTATTATCAGTTACTGGTTATTATTATCTAAAACAGTGAACTTATGGTTATTGGATGATCAGCTTTTATTTAGCTAATCTATCTATTGGTGATCAGTTATTCTATCTGAATATTGAGGTTTCTCGGGGTTCTTAAACAGCACACATTCTCTGAAAATTAATACTATGAGTTCATGGGACATGGTCTACAAGAGCTTTTGGTAATGTTTTTTTTCTTACCTTAGGTTATTGTATGGCACATATACTAAGGGCTTTTTAATAAAATTATTCTATTTTTCTTGTTTGCCCAAAGTATAAGATGCTATAGCTTTTTCCAAATAAATTGCCACAGGCGGAGATTGTAAGTGTACATAATTTGTACACATTAAAAACCTTGTTGTTGGCTAATTTATTTTTATAATAAATAGATTTAAGTTAGCCAAAGCTCTTGGACCATTTTTCCTATCTTATGGTATTTAATTGAGTGGCTCACAATTATTGTGTATATGAAGAGGAAGTCAGGTCTGATTGTGGTTCAAGCAAATTATAAGGATTTGGTTTAAATGAGTGGCAGTGAATGATTTGAGCATTTGATGAAGCTATTCACGTGGCTTATTTTGGTGAAGGGATTATTACTATAAAAGGGAAGATTACTCATTGTGGAAACTTGCCAATTTGAGATTTAATATTATTTTGAGAAGTGAATATTATACTGCTAACAAATTGAATTAAACATATTATTCTGCTGAGCTACGGTCTGCGCCTGAGTCAGTCGAAGTCTGCTGAGCTACGGTCTGCGCTTGAGTCAGTTGAAGTACTGTTCGAAGGTTATCAAGGCATGCACGTCACGGTCCAGGTTAGATGTTAGGAAGGTTGTTTGTAGTATGGTAGCTAAGACTGTGAGAGTCTAATGTACTGTTCTATTGTAAAACTCCTCGGTGAACATCTATAGTGGATTGGACAGACGTAGGAGAAGCCCTCCGAACTGCGTAACAAATCTCTGTGTACTTGATTTAATTACTGCTTTTATTTTCTGTTATTTACTATCACTAAATAACAAAAACTAATCGGTCAAAATTTAATATAAGTATAAAAATCAAGTAGAAGTTTCAGGTTCGATTAGTTTAAAATTCACGGTATTATTTCAACTCCAATAAACAGAGAAATGGTCATGATTGTGAAAGAACGATGAAAATGAAATGACGAAAGGTATGCTGACAACAACGACGAGGTTGTGGTGGCTCACTATAGCATGTTTATTTATTTAAGTTGATTGGGACAAATAGATGAAGACATTTGAGGTAGCAAAAGGAGGACGTTTGGTAAGCTAGTGCTTTTGAAAGTTGATTGGGTATTTAGGACAAATGGATTGATGAAAATTAGATAGAAATATGTCTGTCCTGGAGTCGTGTAGATATGGTAATGCGAATTCATTGGTGTTAACTGTTAAGTTTAACATGTGGCAATGTGACCGATAATATTATGTATGTGAGATTTTATTTTTCTTCAAGGATTAGGAAAATTCGCAGTCAGTATTTAAAAATGTATATAGTGTTGTAAATATTAATATGGACATTATTATATATATGGATATGGACATTATTGTATATATGGTAGTAATTGTAATTGATAGGTTACTACCTTTTATATGTATTGTAATTACTTTATATTTGGTGATACCTTTGTATAGGGATTCTAACGATGAAACAAAATCTTAACCTTTCCTCTCATCTCTTGGTCTATTATTCTTAAACATATAGAGATTAAAAATATCAATTGACTGTTTTCACTAAGAGTTGAACTTGTAACTTTGTGATTATTAAGTCAACAATTTGTTAGCTGAGATTGTCTCCAATTTGAGATTAATTATTAATCATTGCTCGTGTTGTGTCTATTTTATATTTTTATGATTTCCTATTTGTGTGAAATATCACATCTGCGACATTTAGACCATTGGATAATTTGCAAGCCTCTTGATGACTATGTCTAACCATTTCGTACGTTTCTAGAATACAGACAAATAAGAATAAGAGGAAAAATTGATATATTGGTCCTATTTGGTAAAATGGCTGTTAGCTGATAGCTGTTAGTTGTTAGCTGATTGTGTTAATTAGAGGGTATAAATAGTTGATAACATTAGCTGATTGTAGAAAAGTGTTTGGTAAATTAGCTGTTAAATGTTAGCTGTTTGGTATAATTTCTTTTCTCAAAAAGCTAATTGAAAAAGTTGCTTGGGGTAGCTTTTTCAATTTTAGTCATTTGGAGTTGTAAAAAGTTAATTAACTAAACATTTATATTGATATTTTAACTAAATCAAACAATTGATATATTATGTCTTGTGTATAAACCTCAATACAAGCACTCTATTTATAGTGCCATCAAGATATTGAAAATAAATACAAAAGAGAAAACAAAAAAACATCGAAAATCAAAGAGGCACAAGATGATTAATATCTTGAAAATATCTTAGCACTACTCTCTCTCTCTCTCTCTCTCTCTCTCTATATATATATATATATATATATATATATATATATATATTAATCAAGGATCTTGTGGTTCATTGATATCCGATTGTTTCTTTATGTAGGAGATGAATGATACATAATTAATATATTATGGAGGAACATAAATTATAATTTTTACAATTTCTTTTTAAAGTTGATTGGGACAAATGGATGAAGACATTTGAGGTGGCAAAAGGAGGACATGCGGACGGTGCGGTAAGCTAGTGCTTTTGAAAGTTGATTAGGGTATTTAGGACAAATGGATTGATGAAAATTAGATAGAAATATGTTTGTCCTGGAGTCGTGTAGATATGGTAATGCGAATTAAGTAGTGTTAAGTTCAACATGTGGCAATTTGACGACTAGGAAATCCCCCTGTCACTAATCACTACTATTAGAGAATGTATATAGGGACTAAAAACATCGTTAAAAGTTGAACTTGTAACTTTGTGATTATTAAGTTGGTTGAGATGTCAAGAACCTTATGTTCAGATGTCGTGTAGTGATTTCTTTTATAGGGAGGTCATGAGATCGAACCTTAGTGGATATGATTTTTTTTATTTATTTAAAGGTGTTGTTATAAACCTACAATCTGCTACTGGCGCTCATCTCTTCTCTTTTCTTTTGTGTTACTTTGTCCATTAATTGATTGCTGGAACATAATTTGAAAAGGATAGTGGTTGTGTTTTGGGACTGCAAAAAAAAAAAAAAAAAAAAAAAAGGCGCGTCCTCAATTAAAGAAGCAAATTGTAAAAAATGGTGCACCTTAAGAAGGAAAACAACGCACCTTAAGAAAGAAACAAAGCACTTAAAGAAGGAAAACAACGCGTCTTAAAAAGGAAAACCACGCACCTAAAGCTTTGGACCGACGCACCTTAAGAAGGAAAACAACGCACCTAAAGAAGGAAAAATCACGCACCTAAAGCTTTAGGCCGACACACCTTAATTTCAACAATTGACGCACATTAAGCACACATGCCACACACCTAAAGATTTAGACCGACGCATCTTAAGTTTCAACAACTGACGCACTTTAAGCACACAACACAGAAACCACACACCTTAAGAAGGAAAACCACTCACCTTAAATTTGACCTAGATACAATTAATTAATTTTGATTATATATATACATATACACACACATACACACACACTCTTTATCTCTTAAGGTATAAAAGTATAATTTAAAAAATATTATTATAATTACCTAATAATTATTATGGTAATTAAGGTATTAATTGCACATATATTGGTATAATTGATTAATAATTATTATAATAATTAAGCTTATAGGGAGTGAATCAGGTGCAAAGATAACTTCCCGTGCGGTTAACACAAAAAGACGCGTACCTTAAGCACACAAACAAAGCATCTTAAGAACACAAATCACGCACCTAAAATTTTAAAATGGCGCACCTTAAGTTTCAACAACGACGCACCTTAAACATACAAATCACGCACCTTAAGAAGGAAAACCACACCACACCTAAAGCTTTAGGCCGACACACCATAAGTTTCAACAACTGACGCACCTTAAGAAGAAAAACCACGCACCTAAAGCTTTAGATCAACACACTTAAGTTTTTAACAACTGACACACCTTAAGCCACACAATACAAAAACCACGCACCTTAAGCACAAAAATCACGCACCTTAAATTTGACCTAGATGCAAAAAGATCAAATTGCCACAGTGTTTTTTTTAATCATTGTTAATCCTGTACGTTGATTTAGGCAATATCAATGACTCAGATTTAACCGCACAAATGCACGGTACACACCTAACTGCATGGAATTGAATTCTAAGCTAATAATTACATAAATATTAGTATAATTATAATTAAACATGAGTCATTGATTTTTTAAAATTACAAATAACTTTCACACACGCACGCACGCACACACACACACGCACAAAGAGAGAGACACTTAAGGTATGATAATATGAGAACAAAATAAATTATCATCTCTATTCTTCCGTGTAATTATTATGGTAATATCTCTCTATATATTTTTATACTTAAGGTGTAAAAGTATAATTACAAAATATTAATATAATTAACTAATAATTAGTATGTTAAGTAAAGAATTAATTACACAGATATTAGTATAATTAACTAATAATTACACGAATATTAGTATAATTACAATTAAACATGAGTCTTTGACTTTATTTTTATAATAATTACAATTAATCCATTCAGATATAGAGGAGAAAAAAAGTAAATGCAATAGAGTGAAAGGGAATATATTTAAGGTATAAAAGTATAATTACACAAATATTAGTATAATTGCCCAATAATTATTATGATAATTAAACTAAACATGAGTCATTGGATTTATTTTTATAATAATTACAATTAAATTATTTCTATTTTTTCTATATTTATTTTAGTAAGAATATAATTTTAAATAAATCATATTACATATCAATTTTCTATGATATATAATTGCAGACAAACGAGTCATATATCATTCAATTAATTGAGTGATACTTTTACACTAATTTTATAATCAAATAGATGTACACTTTCAAATATTAGAATTGTTTATAATTTTATTTTTAACTTTATTATCTAAATATATGATAAAAAAATTTATTCGTGCATCGTACATGTAATTTACTAGTAATAACCAAAAGGATAAGATTAGCCTGGACTTAGCTCAATGATTCAGTGGGCAACATTAGAGAGAAGAGAAAAATGTTTGAACCTCGACGGCGACAGTATGAGAATTATGTCCAAAGTTGGTAGATCCCTTGTGCAATTGTGCGCACCGCATTTGGCCCTATCTGCTGAGCCATTGAGTCACTGTCATTTACCTCCTTTCAAATGCTCTGTCGGACTGGAGTGTGGAGGGCTTTTGAGGTTGGGATTCAAGCTTTTGGGGGAAGAAAAAGGATAAGATTAGTTTTAGTAAAAATTAATATGTAAATGTAAGGGTTTGATCCTTAGCTTTGGGAATGGAGCAGCTTTAAATCTCCAGGTCAGCTGTCCCACCCAAAAGAGGTGTCTCAGTGAAGGGAAGAATGACCAGGTTGCTCGCATGAGTAGCTCAACTGGTCATAGAGGTGAAACTTTGGAAGAATGACCAGAGATCGAGTCTCACCAGCGGCAGTGTGGGAACAACCTCTCGAAGTGAGGGGGGCTTCTTGTGCGCAGTGAGGCAGTGAGCACCAGTCTAGAAGTGAGGGGGGCTTCTTGTGCGCAGTGAGGCAGTGAGCACCGGTCTAGCCTTTGGGTCCATGTTCAGTTCAGTCACCATGATTTACATCCTCCCAAATGCGGGGTCCCTTAGGATTGGGGTTCAGCCTTTTGGAAGAGTCACCATGATTTACATCCTCCCAAATGCTCTGTCAGGCCGGGATGTGGGGCCCTTAAGGTTGGGGTTCAGCCTTTTGTATAAAAAAAAAAATGTAAATGTAAGTAATGTAACGTAAAGGATAAGATTGATTTTGATACAACGATCTGCGGAGAGCTTGACCATATATGTGCAAATTGTACGCTATTTGTCGTAACGTATCGGACCACTTTCAAATGACATCTGTACGTTGCATGATTTCCGCCTATTTATGAACGTTACGTAATTGAGCATTATCGGTGTAGTAGCAAACTAAAGTTAGCGCAGCTATGCTTATATATAGTATATCCTAGCCTGAACAGCTCATACCCGAGTGAGAGAATTAAGTGTGTCATGGATGCGGTTCCGTGTTGTTTATCATCCATTCTTGGCATTGCAGCTTTGGTGCTGCTTTGGTTTTCATGGCGAAAACAGAGCAAGAGATTGCCACCGGAGGCAGGTGGCGCGTGGCCTATTATTGGCCACCTCCACCACTTCCGAACCTCGGTTCCTTTGGTTAAGACTTTGAGCGAGTGGGCGGATAAATATGGTCCGGTGTTCACCATCCGCCTCGGCATATCCCGGATCCTGGTGGTTAGTAGCTGGGAAGCCGTCAGGGATTGCTTCGCTACTAACGATAAGCTCTTGGCTGCACGTCCAACTACATGTGCAGGTACGGTTTTAACCCGGTTCAGTTCATTTATTTTTTAGGTGACAAAAGGAAATCTGTAGTCACTATCTGAGTACACTACTTGAAATTCTTAAATTTTCGGCCACCTGAAAGTGATCTTAAATCAAGTTGAAAGTCTTGTTCCGACCACTTTTGGAATCCGGAAAAACCCTTATTGCTATTTCTGACCACTTTTTGCTTTCAACTTGATTTAAGATCACTTTCAGGTGGTCGGAAATTCAATAATTTCCAGTAGTGGTATGTGTACCAAGTAAATCTCGTTTTGTGATTCTAATCGGATCAGGTAAACCAGTTTAGGTTATCCATAGTTGATCCACTCAAACCAAGAAGGTTGGAATTCAATTTCGTAACATTGTTATTACAAGTGTGTATCTTTAATCATTTTGACTGGGATTGTCAAATTCCTGGAATTTCTGACCACTTGAAAGTGATCTTAAATCAAGTTAAAAGCAAAAAGTGGTCGGAAATAGCAACAAAGATTTTTCCGGATACCAAAAGTGGTCAGAACCAGGCTTTCGACTTGATTTAGATCACTTTCAGGTGGTCGGAAATTTCATAATTTTCAGTAGTGTATCCCCACTTTCAATTCATTTATTTGTTTCCGATTTCTTTAGCTCTTGGGGTTGGAGATTCAATCTTTTTGAGAAGAATAATTTGAATTGAGATTCATTAATTTAAACTGGCAGGTAAATACCTTGGCTACGATTATGCGGTCTTTACTTTCTCAACAAATAATTCATATTGGCGAAGAGTACGAAAATTGGTGGTGGAGGAGATACTCTCCAGCAGAAGACTTGAGAAACTGAAACATGTTTGGGTGTCGGAGCTGCAAACCAACATCAAAGAACTCTACACTTTTATTTCCATGGATAACAACAACCCCTCCGCTCCCAAAGTGAACATGAGCAGATGGTTCGGACATTTAACGTTGAATTTGATAATGCAGATAGTCGCCGGCAGGAGGTACGAGTACCGGAGTGACGGGACGATCAACGAGGAGGCACAGCGTCTCAAGAAGGTGTTTAGCCAAGTTATGTATCTGTGGGGTGAGTTTGTCTCCGGGGATGCCATATTTCCACTCTGGTTTTTCAGGTGGTTGGACTATGAAGGCCATGTCAAGACCATGAAAAGAGCTGCAAAGGATGTGGATGCCATCTTGCAAGATTGGGTGGATGCTAGGAGGAAGGAGAGGAGAAGTAATGAAGATCAAAAGTTTATTGATGTTATGCTTTCTATGATTGATGATCAATTTACCCAAGGTTACAGTTACTCCCGGGACACAGTAATCAAAGCAATTGTATTGGTATGTTCATGACTTTTTTAAAAGTATCTTTTTAGGAGTTTGGGGTGTTGGATTTACCAGGCTTGTTTTGTCTTAATGTTTCGCAGAGTATGTTACAAGATGCTAGTGAAACGTTTGCGACTCACTTGACATGGATATTGGCTGTATTGCTAAAACACCCAGAATCGTTGAAGCGTGTTCAGGATGAGATAGACACCAACATTGGCAAAGAAAGGTGGGCAGAAGATTCTGATGTTAAGAATTTACCATACCTTCAAGGTGTAGTTAAAGAAACACTGCGAATGTACCCACAAGGACCATACCTAGCTCCACACGAAGCGGTGGAAGATTGTATAGTAGATGGCTATCACATCCCAAAGGGCACACAACTATACGTCAATGTGTGGAGATTGCATCGCGATCCTAAAATCTGGCCTGACCCAGAAAAGTTTTTACCAGAAAGGTTCATGACAAATTTAGAAGGGGAAGCTGCCCAAAATAGACAGTATCAGTTTGTCCCATTTGGTCTTGGACGACGATCATGTCCTGGAAATTTATATGCAACACAAATTACACAAGTTGCAGTTGCTCGACTATTTCAAGGCTTTAATTTCAGCACAGTTCCAAATGAGCCATTGGACATGATGGAAGACGTAGGCATTATCTTGCCTAAGTTAACTCCTTTAGAAGTACTTGTTACACCGCGTTTATCTCCTACTCTATTTAGATTATAAGCATATATATGCTTAATGCGGATGTATGTTTTTTAATTTTCTATGTGGTCAAATAAAAGTCTTTAATATATGCATGGTGTATACATGCATATAGAATAAATGAATGGAATTCCTATTCCCATATGTTCTATATTACTTTGTGAAAATGCACATAATATTTTCTTAAATGTCTTATCTATTAAAGTTTCAATTTTAAATTTTTTTTGCCAATTACATATTATTTGTCTTCTTTCCTTATTATGGAAACAAAATGTGGCTAATTTCGCGCTTGGTCAAAAGAATGGAATAAATATATTCATACAATATAATCATAGTCATTCCACAAATCTTATCCAACTTGTTTTCACTAATCTTATCATCTCGTCCAATTCACGTGCGAAATTGTTATGAAGCAGTCATGAGCAATATCATGACTATTCTCTAACCAAAAAAAAAAAAAAAAAAAAACGAAAATCAACCTAAGTCTATAATGATTTATTGTTTTGCACCAATTAAACCAGTGCTGGAAATTATGAAATTTATGACCACCTGAAAGTGATCTTAAATCAAGTTGAAAGCCTTGTTCCGATCATTTTTATATCCGAAAAACATTTGTTGCTATTTTCGATCACTTTTTACTTTTGACTTGATTTAAGATCACTTTCAAGTGATCGGAAATTCCATAATTTCTAGCACCTCGTATCCATTCTCTCGTACCAAGAATCATGTATCATCCAATTACGTACGTACATGTGTCCATTATATTGTTTTGCATCAAGGGATCGGAGACACATTTATCTATTACATGTGTCAATTGTCGTACGTGTATCTTCATTCTTCACTTGCAAATAGCCTTACAGCATGTTTGGTTCACAGAATGAATTTTGAGGTAATAGGAATGCTATTCCATAAGGAATGGAATAGGCAAGGAATAGAATATGAATTTTGTTCTATTGTTTGGTTCGCGGAAGGAATAGACTTTAGGAATTATATTACAGTGTTTGGTTGGTTTAAGGAATAGAATGAAATATGTTTCAAAAGACATAAATACCCTTATAAAAATATGTGTTGGTGTTGGTGGTGGTGGTGGTGCTGCTGGCGGTGGTGGCGGTGGCGACGGTGGTGGCAGTGGTTGTGGTGGCGGTGGTGGCAGTGGACGTGGTGGTGCCGGCGGTGGTTGTGGTTGTGGTGGTGGTGGCGGTGGTGGGGTAGTGGTGGAGACGGCGGCAGTGATGGCAGTGGTAGGGTATTTTCGGTATTATAGTAATAAAGCTATTCCCAAATACTTGAGAATAGCTAATACCAGGGGGTCCCCTAGGAATGGCTATTCCCCTGCAAAGGGAATAGCTCATTCACGGGAACGCTATTACCTTGAATAAAATGAGAAAACAAACAATGGAATAGGTCTATTCCGGGGAACGGTATTCCATTCCCGACCTATTCCATGAACCAAACACGCCATTAGTGCTTTACGCCATGTGCACTACTAAAAGCCAAGCTAGCATAGTTGCATTGACAAACCCTTGCACTAAAGCGTGAACATGATGTTGAAAAATTAATTAAAAATGACATCATTTTGAGGTAAAGTTTGGAATGGATCGGAGTTTACTTTGTGTTTGGGTTTGGTCAAAATGGATTAAGATTCTCCTAAGTTATAGGTTTAATTTGATATATTTTATACTCAAAATAGGATATTGAGTGAATTAGCAATTGATTCAAAAAGTATTCTTGTTTGATCGACTTAGGAAAAATGGAGTTGGGAAAGCTTTGTAGTAGCATTTGTCCACATTGAAAAAGTGATGTGCAGTGGGTTTAATTTGTGCACACTAGTATATATACAAATTTTATTTTTGAAGTTTGAATTGCATATGCATATATAGCATAGAGTCTCTCTCGCGAATGCAGATAGTGCAAATCAAATTTGTGAAGATTTTAAAAAGAGTGTGTGATATACACGACTTGAATTTTTTTTCTTTTTTCTTTTTTTTTTTTTTTACATTGTTTGTATGTGATCATTTTCTAAGATTTAAATCCTGTTATTTTCCTTCCATATTTTTGATAATTTATTGACTTATTCAAAATTAAACCTACACATGAATTTTAGCCATTTTTTAAGATTTAAATCATGTTATTTTTCATCCATATTTTTTAATTTATGGACTTATTCAAACCTACACATGAATTTTAGCCAACTTGCTACATTGCCCATAGTGGCAGAGCCGAAGTTTTTAATTTATTCAATAGTGTAAAAAATTAAATAATGATATCTTCATAAATAAAAATAGTTCAAATACAACTAAATATTTGTTTAGAAAAAAAAAAAAAAAAACACTTCAATATCATAATTATCCTCATTATATTGATGCAATCATGGATTGATGGATGCTACCATTGCAATTAATTTTTATATTAAATAAAAAAAAAACCCTAAAAATTACTTTTTCAATGCAAATACGTGTAGACTAAACCATCCTAAAATCAAAATGTCATTCACATAACATGACCAACATTGTCCGCATGTCATTCCTTTGGAATGTAGCGCTCAAAAAACTAATTCCGTGAAGAATTTATATCATCATTTTAGCTCATAACAATCATAGCTTGTAAATCAAAATTAACTCAATATTTCAATACAAATATACAATCAACAATCCAACAAATTAAACTCCGACAATTAAATTATAAACTTAATTTTGAAGTGATCAACATAACAACACGTACACCACTACACCAATAATACAATACACAATTACACAAATTTTGAAAATTAAAATAATATTTCCACTTGTTGAAGGAGGTTTTTTGGATTGGATCGATGGCTAGTCTCTTGATTTAACTGTTGACTTGCTGGCTACTATATGATGGTCCCTTCTTTATTCCATCCATAAACTAGATCATATCATGCTAGGATTGCTAAGCTTAGCACGAGACATCGACTAATGCCTTATTTTGATTTTTTGTACATAATCAAATAATGATTTATGTTCCAAGTTCCGTGTTCCATTTTTACTCATCTCCTATATTTAATTTTTAACTAACATGAACCCAATTTTTGTCTAACCAAGCTTTATAGACCAACTAAAGTATCCCTTTGATCTAACAAATAAAATGAAATAAAAAATCAAACTTTATGATATAAGTATAAAGTCAAAATGTGGAAATGGGCATTGGTTTAAAACCTTGACTAAGGTTTTGTTTGGGATGAAGTCTGGAGGAGTAAATGTATGAGATGGGGTTTGCTTGGCATAAGTTTGAGTAAGGGGAAAATTTATAGGAGTAGATTTTCATTCTTTGCCTTGCAAATCTCTAGGCATTTATTGTTGCATTAAATGCTTGGGCAGAAGTTTGAGAAAGGGGATTCTCTAGACTTTTGGGTTGCTATAAATAAGCAACACCTCTGCATTCATTTTGGATCATCCCATTCGAAATATAGAGAGTAGTATAGCAAAATACGGAGAGTAAAAATAGAGAGTTATATTTGTAATTCCTATTGTAATACCCTTTTGTCAATATATAAAATTCTTCTTCAATTTGCCTTATTTTGTATATATGATTTATTCTAAATCCTACACTAGAAATTTAGTTGCTATTGTATTTTGGTGTTGTGAACCGTATTGATCTTAACATATGATATATTGAAACTAGCTTATGATTTTAAATAATAATAAAAAGGATAAGATGAATTTTGATGAAAATCTATATATATATATATAAAAGTAAAATCCTCCTAACAAATTTTTCCCCCAAAACTTTTGTAGTAAAGTTTAATTGGTAAGTAAATGTCAAATGGAAATTAAATAAATCTATTAATTGTTATATTACATAATTGGTAATATTATGTATGGTATTATATTCTATAATATAATTGATTATATTATTGTTCAAATATAATAAAAATCTTATGAAATAATGTAAGCATAATAAAATAAAATAATAATAATAATAATAATATAAAAACCATATAAATTTTCCCCCAAAACTTAGCGGCATTTATATAATATCCTAATTTTCTAATTTAATTAATTATCAAAATATTGAAATTATATATTATATATTATTCATTTGTGTAGACATACTTATTACTGTATATAAAGTAAATTAGGTAAATATATTCTTCAAATATAAATTAAGTATCTATATATAATTTTTTGGTAAGCAAATGTAAAATTGTAACTCTAATTTTAATTGGTAATTGGTAATTGGTAATATAATAAAAACTATAAATGTTACCCTTAATCATATCTAAACACCTATATATACATCACATTCTCTTCAATACAAACAGTACCAAGTTACAAAGAACATAAGGGAATATTCTCTGCAACTGCATAGCAATGGTGTAGAGAACAGGGACCTTCAAGAAGATGAGGAACAAGACCCATATTCTCTGCGTATCCAGAAGAGCTGTTGCACTACACCTACACATTTGGTAAATCTCTGTATCCTTTTTTTCAACTCTTTTTTTTTTTTTTTAATAAAGAATAGAAAATCATATATACCATTGGTGAAATTTAAAATCTATCTACATATATTATATAAACTATGATTATATTGATCATATATATCATCTGATCTTCTTCATCATTAATCTGGACGAGTTTGCTCAACCCATTAAAAGGTATTTCTCTAATACCTTATCTCAATCCATTAAAAGTTGTTTATTATTGGACTCTGGGCAAGATTAAGTAATGCACTATTCATAGTGATAGAAAAAAAATTGACCATCTGATTATTAGTGGACTCTGAGCAACTAGATTTGCAGGTCATTTGCATGAGAGGGGACATCATTGAATGAGTTTGGACTATTAATATTTTTTTTCCTGATGTGACGGTCCTTCCAGCACCAATAGGAGTAACACAAGGATTTGGAGCCATGGCAATGTGTTGAGGATCGTGAGTAGTGCTCCTTGACAAAAGCCTAAAGCAACATCATATGAATATGATAGAGATTTAATTATTTTAATTTTTATTGATAAAGATTATTCTCTAACCAAACAATTAGTAATATTTACGATGTATTGAACCAACCTTCATATTTTTGGACAAATGAGTACACATGATGGAATATATGTTCATTGCACGGAATCTTAATATTCATTGAGTTTCCAAATCGTATATTGCATAAGAATTATTTTACCATAATATGAATTG